GGCAGAAGGATGAATGAATGCTTCCTAGTAGATGTGGAAACAAATCAAGATGTCTGCTCTCACTGCTCCTATTTACCATCATGTTGGAGGTCCCAGCTAGCTCAGTAAGGCAAGAAATAGCAGTGAAAAGCATAAATAGTTATTAAGAGATTCCAGAACCACGAAAAAATGAAACCATGTACCTTTTAGGTGTTATCTTAAAAGCAATGCTTATATTAATTTTATTTATACACTTTTATCTTGGAATCTTTAAAGGAAGTGTAAGCTTGGCAGCTGACCAATAACTAACAAGTTTTTGTTTTTATTTAGCCATATGGGATATACAGTTTTAAAATGAAGACCAGAGAGGCTAGGATTTATTTATTAAGTGGAATAAATATCACATAGTCTCTTACTACATATAGAAAGAAGAAAAGAATTCAACAGTCTTTATATACCCCATTTTTTAATAAGAGTATTGCATCTCATAGTAAATTATTATATGTGTTTAATATATTTAAAACACCCATCAGAATGCAGATGGGTGGATAAAAATATATATCAAAATCTTAGTTAAAGCATAGCTTTGTTCACTTTTAAAGGCAAATTCACAGACTATTTACTGAAACATTATGTTGCAATAAAATGACAAACAATGAATTCTGCATTTTTGCACGCTCCAGCCACCACAACCTCAACCTGCTGGGCTGCAGCGATTCTTCCGCCTCGGCCTTCCAAGTGGCCAGAGCTGCAGGCATGTGCTGCCATGCCCGGCTGATTTTTTTGATTTGTTGTAGAGATGAGGTCTCGCCAAGTTGCCCGGGTGGGTCTCGAACCCATGGGCTCAGGCAATCCTCTCGCCTCGGCTTCCCAAGGTGCTGGGATTGCAGGTTGAGCCACCAAGCCTGGCCCTTGCCCTTTCATTTAACCTGTAACCAGGAGGAGAGAGATGATGGACAATAAACAAAAGAAATGGAAAAAAAAATTTGCATTTTTATTTTTGAAACACTTATGGAAGTCTGTCTCTAAATTATGCTGGGATTAGGACAAGAAATATGTTATTATTGTTTTTATAGCTATTCACACGTTTCCTAGGCATAAAATTATATAAGTGAGTTACAAGAAGATTATTGAAAAGCTGCTATGTATTCCCCACTAATGTTACTCATCTAATTTTTTTTTTTTTTTTGAGTTGGAGTCTCACTCTGTCACCCAGACTGGAGTGCAGTGGCCGCTCCCGTCCACCGCAGCCTCCACCTGCTGGGCTCGGCGATCCTTCCGCCTCAGCCTTCCAAGTAGCTGGAACTATAGGCGTGTGCTACCACGCCCAGCTAATTTTTTGATTTATTGTAGAGATGAGGTCTTGCCTGCCCAGGCGAGTCTCGAATCCACGGGCTCAGGCAATTCACTCACCTCAGCCTCCCAAAGGCAGGGGATTACAGACTGAGCCACCGAGCCCGGCTCATCTAATTTTTTTAACTTAGAATGCAGTAATAAAATGTTAGAAGAATCCCAGAATGGTAATAACGAACATTAACAATTACTAAGGTCTTTCTAAGTGTCATGCACTGTGTGAGTTCTTGAAATAGATTGTTTTACTTGTCATAGAAATTATTAAATAAGTACTGTTGTTACTACCATATCTATGGGAGAATTAAAAAAAAAATGAGTTAAGAATTCTAGCCAAGGTCATAGTTTTCATTCTCAAAGAGCATATTAGTGAAATAAGTAGATAAATTTTATAGGAAAGATGTAAATAAGTTGTTATGATAGCGTATTTTATGAACATTGGAGAAAGCTTATTGGAAGAGGAGATTCCACCTGCACATGGCATGGAGTATATAATGGACAGGATATGCAACAAGTAGAAAAACATGAACAAAGGAATGGGAAAGTAGGGGAGACAGTTTTATAAATTGTGGTACAGTTTTGGTAAATATGTTTTAAGGAAAGTAATAGAAGCCAATTTTGGAAAGATATCTTGGGATCAATAAGAAGCTTTCAAAATGCCATTTAGGGCAGTTTGGATTTTTGTTTTTGTTAACATTGGAAAGCCTTGGCAAAAGATCATTGAGAAAATAAGATTTGGGGAGTGAAAACTAAAAGGCACCGATAACCATAGTACTTGGTTAAATCCCAAAATTTCTGACCCTCATCACTCTGCAGTGGGTTTCTTTAAGAACGTAATCATGAGATTTTGCCTTATAAACCCTCAGCTAATTATTCTAGCTAAAATAGATTAAATGTTCCCACATCTAAAGATAGGTGAAAATATTCTTTAAATATTCATTTTCTGCATAACATTCATTCAAATGTTTCTCTAGAATACAGAGAAGACAGACTTTTCCAGATATTTAGTTTTGTGAGATGAGTGATATATTAAATTGCTATTGTTGCTGTAATAAATTGCTACAATTTTAGTGGCTGAAAACAACACAAATCTAGTCTCTTAAAATTCTCAACATCAGAAGTCTTCAATTGACTGTCAGGACTGCATATTTTCTGGAGGCTCTAGGGGAGAATTTACCTCCTTGCCTTTTCTATAGACTGTTTACATTATTTGGCTCATGACTGCATCCTGAAAGCCAACGGTGTAGCATCTTCCAGAGTCTTTCTGTCCCTCTGCTTTTACTGTCACATCACCTTCTGTGTATGGGACCCTTATTCCTGTCTTCTTAAAAGAACCCTTGTTTATACATTGGACCCACCCAGATAATCCAGAGTAATCTCTGTACCTCAGGATCTTAAACTTAACCACATCTACAAAGTTCCTTTTGCCATGTAAGGTAACTTATTCACAGATTCCAGGGGATTAAGATGTGGACATCTTTGAAGGAACATTCCCCCTACCATAGGTAGTTTACATAAATATTAGCAATCTAATATGATAAATAATTTGAGAGGAATAACATACATGGTGCTGGGGGTCCTCAGTTTAAACAACCCGAATACCATGAGAATAGAATTCTGGGAGCCACTGATGGTTGAATAGGGCCTTAAAGGATAATAGGAATTTGTCAGGTAAAAAGGGACAAAAGGAGTTCAGGCAGAATGCATGTCAAAGGTATGGCGGAGACAAAGGATGTTAGATTGGTGCTTTTGTAATTAGTAGTACTTTGGCCTAATTCCTGTAATAGAGGGATATATAAGGTAAGTGGGAGCAGAAGAGAAGGGACGTTTCAATCAGAGGAAAGGGCTCATAATGTGGCACTTTTGTTCTCATTTTCATGATCTCCCTTGGTGGCTAACTTTCACTTGGTGGTTCAGGTTCATCTGTTCTTTTCTTACTGCTGCCTGTTCAATTATGGAAGGACCAGAGCTCAGTCAGTTACATTACTAATACTCATAATAATACATTCCTAAGGCAATTGGTTCATGAAAGTAAATGCATTTTTATGAAAATACTTCAATTTGTGTTTTATTTTTCTTTATTTTTTCTTTTATGAAAGTTCTTGGTAACATGTGAGAATATCAAGTAGTGGTACAGGGAATAGAGCTGAAGTAGTGTTGGGTCCGTCAAACCTATTATAAAAGGGTAACTAGTTAGCTAGTGGAGATTTTGAAAACAAACTTCACCTAGCCATGACTATTAGGGGCAAGGGGAGAGAAGAAATAGTCTGTGATCTCTTTGTGCTACCCTGTTGCCCATCTTTTGTAAAGAACAAGCACGGACCCTACTCAAAAGCCCTGTTCCCCAGGCATTGGTGAGGGAACAGAATTGGGTTGCTCTGTCCCTGGACTCTACTGTGACCAGTAGCCTGTGTTGGCACAGCTGTTCCAGTAGCTCCTCTTGCTGGAGAGCCCCATCACAGCTTCCCTATTGAGTGCAGATCAGGTCTCCACTTCTGATTTTAGCGTAACATTTGTTCTTCTTCCTTCTGCTTGAAGCTCCTAGAATCAACTCAGCATTTATCACGTACTGAGTATATTTTATATTTTCTATATTTGATGTGATTCTTGCTGCTATTTCATCTGTTTGGCTATTTTTTAATTTATTTATGTCAAATTTTCTCAGGGCTTAACAACTTTTAGAAACCCCCAACAGATTACCCATTTTATTTCACATTTTCTGTTCCTTTTGAAGATTTTCAGAAGAAAGCTTCTCAGAAGAAGCATTTTGTTAGAGTAGTTAAATCTCATTTTGCTAAAAAGGCTCATTCCTAGAGAGTCATATCCATGGAGGGGGGCGGGGGACGGGGGGAATGTTCCTTTTTTAAGACAGAAAGGGGCTACCTATCTCTAGTAAAAAATATTTCTGTAGATGGTATTCAATGAGTCTCAATTTGATGATTTTGTATTAAAACGAATCTCTTTAGGTGTCAATAGTGCAATAACAATTATTATATTGACATAATAAATATTATAGACATTGGTACCGCAACTAAGTGATACACTGGAATAAATTATTTGTAACCACATCTAAGTGTGAATTCCAGCATTATGATATTTATATGTTGTCTAAGACAAGTTACTCAAGCTCCCCAAATCTGTTCTTTTATGTTTTAAATGAAGATAGTAATAGCCTCGTGGGTAATTGAGAAGATTAATATTTATAACATGCTTGGCATGTAGAATGTGCTTATAAATTCTAGTAGCTGTCATTGTTCCTGTAATTACTATATGTTAGCATTAGTAAGCTTCATGATATACTGTATAGGATTAAAATAGTCTTCTTATGAAGCTGATGCTTTATGTCATGTTTTAAACTAATAACAGTTGAGAGGTAGTGTTGAAGGGCGGTTAAGAATGTAGACTTTAGGTCCAAATTTCAGCTCCATGACTTACTATCAGGGTAATCATGAACAAATTACTTCAGTGCCTTGTGCATCACTTTCTTCATCCATAAAATGAACATAACAATCATACATTTCTTCCAGGGATATTATAAGGAGTCAGTCAGATTAGTTATATAAAAAGTTTAGAACAGTTGTTGATAATTAGTGCTGTGTATCAGTTTTTGCCATTATTATTATTGTTATCATTCATTTGTTGTTGAGTAAATTTTTAAAATCGCTTTTTAGGTGAATCTTGGAAGCAACCAGTACCTTTTCTCTGTCACAGTGGACCCTAAAGAAATGCCCTGCTTCTGCTTACGCCATGATGTTGACGCCCTGATCTGGCAGCCACACTCCAGCAAGCAAGATGATATGTGGGAGCACATCGCAACTTTCAATGCTTTAGGTACTTTTTTTTAAGTTCGTTTCTTTATTTTTAATTTGAGCTGTCCTAATTACATTTAGATTGATTCATGCTATAATTTGGTTGCTATAGTTGATGAATGTTAGTATTATTGGAACATTTGGACTAATGTGTTTTTATACTCATATAGAAGATCAACACAGAACAGAAATGAAAGTAGTTATCTCACCACTTGATCATCCTAATCAGTCATTAGCTTAGTCTAATTCTGTAAGCTATATAAGAATGTGAACAAAGGGCTTGACAGTACCCCTACATGGTACTTATATTTAGGTTTCTCCAGGGTAATCTTCAAATACATCATAGATTCACATTAGGTGACATCTCTCATGGAACTTGAGTACAAAAGAGCCATTATGATTAAAACACTTATGGAAAGTAGAGATAAGCCAAAATTAAATTTATCGGGTAGAATTAAGGAGAAAGTATGAGTTTTAAAACTAGCACTTGACAATGTTTAAACTACTTAACTGTAGACTTATGCAATCATTGATTTTTATGTCAAAATACGTTAGTGTTGTATGGGAGAAATATTTTATGTGAATTAGCCACAGTTATTGCTTTATTGAAAAGTTATTTTAAGCTGAAAGCAGGAAGTAAAATTATATATTTTGAAGTCTATATCTGCACAGTGGTAAATGTAGAAATTTGTCAATTATCTCTTATAGTTCATAATGTAGGCTGCTAAATTGATTATTTCAGGCTTCATATGGATTTTTATGACCTATAGTACGAAGTTTGATTGACTAATTTAACCACATAATTTCTAGACTCCCTACTATAATTCTTATTTTTGAACTCTCTATCCTCTTTCTTTAGTAAAAAGAAATCTCTTTCATACTGTTTAGCATACTTAGATCCTTCATTTGTATCCCCATATCCCCTACTATGCTCTCTAAGCTAAGTCAACGTTACATTAGATATATACGCTTGAAACATTATGTACACTACTAATTCTGCCAAGTTTAGCCTGGATAACTACTTTAAACTATTTAAATAGGTATCTAAATCCTCTTTACTTTTCCCTCTTCAAGCCCTGATTAATATTAGTAAAAAACCAGTACTGGTCTGCCTGGTCTGTCAAGGTTTCCTTTGCTTGTTCATTGTTTGATGAGATATCAATTTTAGCTAGTATTATATTTCTTATCACACATGTTACAGCATTCACCAACCAACCTGAACAATCTGAACATCATGATTTATATGTCAGAACATAAATGTCCTTTTGATCTATAAGAATTTTTTTAAAACATGTATATGAATTAGGATAAGATTAAGAATTTTTTCAGTTTATCCTTAAAAAAATTAAGACTTTTTTGAAGGAATATTCTAATTAAGTTTTTAAAATTAGAAACTTGAATTTTTGGGGGGGATTGTAGTGCTCTCAACATTGTACTTCTGGAGGCTGAAGGACAACAGAATCCTGCTACAGTGTTGGTATTTGTATGTAAAAATGTAATATTAGAGAGATAATAAGAGACTGCATAGTAAATATTAGTACCTTCAGAGATGCATTATGAGCAGACTCCTGAAATAACGTTATGATGGTGTCCTATAAACATTTTCCCATTTGAGAAGATAAAAAAATGATTCTTTGATGATATATTTGTGATTCATGAACCTAGATATTAAATTGGCATTTAAAGATATTTTGGCATGTACTTATTGTTTGAGATTTTAGAATTTTGGTATTTGAATTATTCATGGAAATTAAATGAAACTGTGTTACGCATTTTTTAAGAGATGAAGCCATATCTGTTTTGTTCCTTAGGAATTGAAGTTGTATTTTTATACCAGTTGGGAGAAGTTGATTGTTGCTAGTCAGTAATGGTTCAGAATTCAACCATTATTGAGTATTCATAGTATATATTTTACTTGGGCATTTCAATTCATAATTAAAATTGTAAAATATTAAATGTTACATTACTGTTTCCCCTTTCTGTTTAATATATGATTTTTTTCTTTGTCTTATATTCTTGGCAGGCTACGTTCAAGCATCAAAGAGAGACAAAAAATTTTTTGCCTGTGCTCCAAATTACTCCTATGCAGCCCTTTGTGAGTGCCTTCGTCGAGTATTCATCTATCGTCAGCCTGCTCCCGTGCCCACTGTACTTTACAACAGAAAGGAAGGCAGGCAAGTAGGACAGGTTGCTAAGCAGCAAGTAGCAAGCCTAGAAACCAACGATCCTATTCTAGGCTTTCAGGCAACAAATGAGAGATTATTTGTTCTCACTACCAAAAACCTCTTTTTAATAAAAGTAAATTCAGAGGATTAATTATTCTAACATTTGACTTCTCTGCACTGGAAAAGTATTCAATGGTACCTGGAGGCCTGGCGGTTATACTCTAATCTGTTAAGTTTTAATGTGTTAAATAAAAATATCTGTATGATTTTTTTATTTTTTAATGAACATTGGAAATGTATTCAAGAGGTTATGATTCTTTATGGAATGAACCACAGATTTAGAGAACACTGACTTCTGTAAAAAATGTAAACATAGTGTTAGCAAGCATACTTATTTTTTAAAAACAGAGGCTAGAATCTCATCTTTTATATGAAAGATGTATAATTCAGTGGTTAAAAATAAAAGTATTTATCATGTACTCTTTGTTTGTTGGTTAGTTGCTACCATAAGCACCTATAAATGTTTAGGATAAGGGTTAAAATTTTGAGTATTGTAAATACTTATTTGGACTGAACAACTAAGTCTACATAGGGGGAAGTGCAAGAGGACAGCAGGTCTAATATTCTTTTTTTTTTTTTTTTTTTTTTTTTTTTTGAGTTGGAGTCTCACTCTGTCGCCCAGACTGGAGTGCAGTGCCGCTCCCGGCCACCGCAGCCTCAACCTGCTGGGCTCCGGCGATCCTTCCGCATCAGCCTTCCAAGTAGCCGGAATTACAGGCATGCGCTAACATGCCCGGCTGATTTTTTGATTTATTGTAGAGATGAGGTCTTGCTGCCCAGGCGGGTCTCGAACCGGCGGGCTCAGGCAATCCACTCACCTCAGCCTCCCAAAGGCGCAGGATTACAGGCTGAGCCACCGAGCCCGGCTAATATTCTTAAAGTTTACTAAGAGACAGTTTTTTCAGCTTAAATATAGCTTGATTTAATTTTTATTTATTTACTGTGTCACAGACATAGACAAAGAGAGATAATAAGGTTCCACATTATCCATTTGCTACATAGCAAACTACTCCAAAACTTGGTGGTTTGAAACAAGGCTGTTTATTTTTTTTTTCATGATTCAGTAAGTTGGCTGTCTGCTGTATGTGGCCTCTCAACCTCCAACAGATTAGACTGGACTTCTTGGCGTAGTAGAGAAAATGTCCTAAGAGGACAAGAATGTACAAGAGCTTATCAGGCCTGTACATACAACATATCAATAATAAAAATGCAAACAAATCATATAGTAGAAAGGCAGGCAAAATATATGAATAGCCAATTCATAGAAAAGGACATATATATGGCTAATAAAGTTACAGTAATCAAGACAATGTAGTATTGGCACCAAGATAGACAAATAGATCCATAGAACAGAATAGAGTTCAGATATAGATTCAGATATATAGACACTATGGTCAATTGATTTTCGACACAAATGCAGAGGCAATTTAATGGAGAAGAATTGAGTATTCATTTTTACATTTGTTTTGTTTGTTTTTTTTTTGAGTTGGAGTCTCACTCTGTCACCCAGACTGGAATGCAGTGGCCGCTCCCGGCCACTGCAACCTCAACCTGCTGGGCTCCAGTGATCCTTCCGCCTCAGCCTTCCAAATAGCCAGAACTACAGGCGGACGCTACCACGCCCGGCTAATTTTTTTGATTTATTGTAGAGATGAGGTCTCGCCAAGTTGCCCAAGCGGGTCTTGAACCCGCGGGTTCAGGCAATCCACTCGCCTCAGCCTCCCAAAGCGCGGGATTACAGTCTGAGCCACCGAGCCTGGCTCATTTTTACATTTGTAATAGACTGAATAATGACCACTCAAAGATATCAGGTCCTAATCTCTGGAACCTGTAAATGTGCTCTTATAAGGAAAAGGGCATATTTTATAAGAAAATGAAGTGGTTAAGTTAGGAACTCTACATGGAGAAATTATCTTGGGTTATCTGGGTTAACCATCCAGTTACAGTGTCCTTATAAGAGAGAGGCATAAGCAAATTATAAACACAAGGAGGAGAAGCATATGTGAAGATGAAGGCAGAAATTAGAGCAATGTGGCCACAAGCCAAAGAATGCCAAAACATGAGCCACCAGAATCGATAAGGGGCAAGAACTGGATTTTCCCTCAGAGTATCTGCTGACACCTTGATTTTGGTCTTCTGGCCTCAGAATCGTAAGAGAATGCATTGACACCAAGTTTGTGGTGATTTGTTACAGCTGCCGTAGGAAACTAACTCAATCTTAGACCAAAAATCACTTAAAATGTATCATGGACCTAAATGTCAAACCTGAAATTGTGAAACTTCTAGCACATCGCATAGAGGAAAATCTGTAACCCTGCATTAGGCAAAGATTTCTTGCATATGACACCAAAATAAAAAATTGATTAATTTCATCAAAATTAAGAAATTATGTTCCCGGAAAGACAATGTTATAAGAATGAAAAGATGTGCCACAGACTGGGAGAAAACATTTGTAAATCACCTATCTGGATGAAAGGTTAATGTCTAGAATAAAGAACCCTCAGAACTCATTAATAAAATAATCAAATTAATACCTTTTTAATGGACCAGAATATTGAACAGTTACATCAAATAAGACATACGATTGGCAAGTAAGCACAGAAGATGTTCAACGTTATTTGTCACTAGAGAAGTGCAGATCAAAAGCATAGTGAAATATCTATAAATAGCTATTGAAATGCCTTAATTTAAGACTGACCATACCAACTGTTGGGAAAGATGTGGAACAGCTGGCACTCTCAAACATTGCTGTTTTAAATGTAAAATTTAGAACTACCTTTGAAAAGAGTTTGGCAGTTTTCTAAAATGTGACCCAGCCCTTCCCCTTTCCCATTCTCTTAGCCAAGAGAAATGAAAGTTCCTGTCCATACAAAGACTTGTACGTAGCAGCAGCATTTGTGATAGCCAAACCACAGAACAAGTCAAATGTCCATCAACAGATGAATAAATGCATTGTGATATATCCATTGCATATGGACAATTACCCAGCCATAGAAAGTATTGATACACCTATCATGGATGAATTCCAAAATAATTATACTGAGTGAAAGAAACTAAGGTATGTACTGTATAATTCAATTCATATAAAATTCTAGAAAGTGCAAGCAAGTAGAAAACAGATTAGCGATTACCTGAGTCGGAGGGGCTGGAGGGGGATTATAAAGTGGCATAAGGAAACATTTTAGGTTAAGGAATATGTTTATTTATTGTGACAGTTCATGAATTTATACACAAGTTAAACTTCATTAAAAAGTATACTTTAGCCGGGCTCGGTGGCTCAGCCTGTAATCCCACGCCCTTGGGAGGCTGAGGTGAGTGGATTGCCTGAGCCCACGAGTTCGAGACCCGCCTGGGCAGCGAGACCTCATCTCTACAATAAATCAAAGAATCAGCCGGGCGTGGTAGTGCATGCCTGTAATTCCGGCTACTTGGAAGGCTGAGGTGGAAGGATCGCCGGAGCCCAGCAGGTCGAGGCTGTGGTAGCCGGGAGCAGCCACTGCACTCCAGTCTGGGTGACAGAGTGAGACTCCAACTCAAAAAAAAAAAAAAAAGTATACTTTAAGCATATAATTTATTGCATGGCATGCCAATTCATCAATAATGCTTTTAAATTTTTTTTTAAAGATTAGGTACGGCTGGGCACGGTGGCTCAGCCTGTAATCCCAGTACTTTGGGAGGCCAAGGCGAGAGGGTTGCCTGAGCCTCGGGGTTTGAGACCAGCCTGGGCAACTTGGTGAGACCTCGTCTCTACAATAAATCACAAAAAACTAGCTGGGCATGATGTCATGCATCATTAGTTCCAGCTATTTGGAAGGCTGAGGCGGAAGGATCGCCTAAGCCCAGCAGATCAAGGCTGTGGTGGCTGTGAGTGTGCCAGTGCACTCCAGCCTGGGCGACAAGAGTGAGGAGACTCCAACTCAAAAAAAAAAAAAAAGATTAGGTATTTAGTTTTATCAAACTGTTCTCCTGTTGATGTAATCACATGTAATCATATGTAAATGATGTAACCATTTCTACTTTTATTAATAATTTTTCTTGTCCTGTGATAGCATTTTAGTGTACATTTCCTATATTTTTGGCATCATCCATTGCCCTTTATTTTGGAAGTACACCATAATTTATTTCTAAGTCTATATATTTGTGTGCTGCTGGTTGTCTTCTTGGCACCACATGGCATTACTTAAAGCTAAGCCAATTGGTACTTTGCAGATGCAAAATCCATGGTCATCATAATTGGTTCATAAATGGGTATTTGACCAATTTTGAATCTATGATTCACAGTGAGCATTTGCTGCGATTTCTGGGAGAAGGCCTGCTTCTAGATGTGAGAATGAAGGGATATAAACAAAACCTTATGTGTCACTACAGTAAGGTGAGAGCTTCTCAAAATGGGGAGCCAACAAAAGGATGGAGCTAGGAGACTATGAGAGAGTAAGTGGACCTTGATTATATCATCAAGTCCTACCTAGCAAAAAAACAGCTTTCCTTAGACTTTTTGATAATGTGAGTCATTAAGTTCTCTTTTTCTCTAAGTCAATTTAGGTCAAACTTTGTGTTACTTGTACTCAGAAGAGGCAACTTTTCATGGTGGAAAGTTCTTTTAATGTATAACTACACTCTGCATGTTGAGGCTTTATTTTAGATTTCTACATCTGAGTTTAGGGGTGAGATTAGTTAATTGACATTATATCAAAATATGGATTTAATAAATAAATTACAGATTTTTTTTTTTTTGAGTTGGATTCTCACTCTGTCGCCCAGACGGGAGTGCAGTGACCGCTCCTGGCCACCGCAGCCTCGACCTGCTGGACTCCGGCGATCCTTCCGCCTCAGCCTTCCAAGTAGCCGGAATTACAGAGGCCCAGATGATTTTTTGATTTAATGTAGAGATGAGGTCTCGTTGCCCAGGCGGGTCTCGAACCCGCGGGCTCAGGCAGTCCACTCACCTCAGCCTCCCAAAGGCGCAGGATTACAGGCTGAACCACCAAGCTCAGCTTACAGATGCTTTTAAATGGGGAGTTTTTGTTTCACTTTAGTTTATTAGCAACTCCTCAAAAATGTGTATTTATGAAAAAAAAATTAGAAGCAGTTTCTTTGGTACCAGGGCGGGAAGATAAAAATAAATTTATGTGATTGTTCCATCCTGAAACTATATTTTCTGACTTTGACATTTTGCATACATCCAAGCTACAAATCTTTTACTCTAAATGGGAAAAAATAATCTGTGGCATACTACATTTTTAAGCCATTTAAAGTTTTTTTTTTTTTCACTTCTACAACTAATTTTTTTAAGTATTTGAGATTTACTTTTAATGCTTGCCAAAATATCCAACATGGATTTCTTACTGCAGGAAAATGATACCAGGTGAATGTTGAAGAAAATTTAATGTATTCTGGACATGAAAACAAATATTGCTCCCGT